GGAGCAAAGTGTTTTGCAGGTCTCTCTCAGGCTTAGTTTGAAAAATGGTAAAGAGAGTTCTTGTGGTTGAGGATGGAGCCGCATTCAACAATTTTGTAGAGCAAATCCCCCGTTGTTTGGATTGGTTCACGAAAACGCTGACAGCTGGAATATCAATAAGACAAATAAAAAAGTATTCCTTACCAGTTGGCTTTCTGTTGAAACCCTGAGGATCAAGAAGATCAAGAAGATAGCATCAAGACAGTAATGTCCTCGCAATTCTGCTTTTCCAAGTGCCTGAATGCTGTTGTAGTCCACTGAAGGATCAGCCCTGTAAATATTGACAGTATTGGGGTGAAACGTGTTGTTTTCACCACTAGGAAGCTGAAGTTAACTTCTCACAGCCAGTTCAGTGTTCACTGATAATCTCTGCATGTCTCTGTAACAATAGGGTTTATCTATCTTATTTCTGGTAAGCCCTTGTCTCTGGGCTGACGATGAGCTTGGAACAGTCATTTATTCTTTCTGTTGGCAACTTACAGGGAAAGCCCTTCTGTTTTTTTTTCTAATTTGATGGGGCCAAAGTATTTCTGATTTTCTGGAGCTACTCAGTCCAATTTGTAGGTGAGAATTAAAGCTTATGTTTTCAGAATAACTGTTCAGTAAAAAGCCAGAAACTTCAATGTTCTCTGAATAGTGTACTTGTTGAGAGGCTTTTCATATTTATATGTTGTTACTTTCTTCCTAAGGTTGAATGTATGTTTTCTGAAAGTCCATATAATTTTTTTTTTATTATTTTTTTTACTATTTAGTGCATCTAGATAGAGGGCAGAGAATACTGGAAAAATGGTAAAACAAAGTATGAATGACAAGAAAATGAATTGTTTTATCTGTCTGAGATCTGTGGAACAAAAGTATGACGGCATTGGAAGACAACTTGAGAACTCTGAACATATTATTTTCATTCAAGCCCATCTCACCTCTAAAAGTTTAATTTTAATTTTAATATATTGAAAGCCTCACCAGTTGAAATTATAACTACTTCATGCATCACATGTCATTCACTCTTTAAATGAAGGCAGCTATCAGGACTAGGGCAGGGTTAGTTTATTTGATCTTGCATGATGTTTCATAATTTTTCTGACTGTTTGCTCATCTCAGATGGCTGTAGATCATGTTGGTAATACAAACTATAGCTAACGAGGTTGAAACCTTGTATGACATTGGTCAAATTACTCCCACTCTGGAACCTCCCAACAATTTCCTTCCTAAAGCCCCTCTCTTGGCTTGCGTGGCACAGGGCATCCAATCTTCCTAAATGCAAACAATTGACTTTATGGCACCTCTTGCTCCAATTGCAGATAACCCTGATTTTCCCTTCTCGGTGACTGTTGATAAATGTTTGATGCCAGCTGGGATTAATACTGTGCTATGCCTCCCTGCTAATGAAAAATACTGCTTTCGGAGAATTCGCAAGACAATCCCATGTTCTTAATTTGACCTGGTTTATTCCTCACCACTTTCTGTACTGCAGGAAGTAAAATAACACTCGTACAGAGAAAATCTCTTTGCTTTCTCCCTGGAAAGTATTTTGTGAATGAAAAACATGTGCTTTGAGTTCAGGTGATTTTATTTCTTTCTGCCATTGTTGACAATGAGTCTTAGTAGAATGCAGGGATGCCACTGAAAAGGATTGGGAACATTCTGTTGTGGATCTGTATATTTTAGCTTATTTGGAGGTTGGAGAGCTCATTTCCAGGTTATATATACAACCCTGATTATACAATAGTGATAAGCCTATATTATCACAAGGAGTAGAATTTTCTTCATGCTCAGGGAAGTACATTGGGATGAAAGAGAAGTACATTGGGATGTGAAGAATATACTATCTAGTTTGGAAACTGAGCAGTTTTCAGCCCTTGGGAGCCGTCTTGTCACGGAGGGAGTAAAGCCAGGCTCCTGCTATTTTATTACATAGAAATCATCCCTGTGAGCACCAGTGATGCTATAATATCGCACTTTCCTGTATGCTTCGTGTTCCTTGTGATTGAAAGTCTTAGTTTTGATTTGCCTTTTATGCAAATGCTTTGTATATTCCTTCTGTCTTATGCCCTCCTGCATACTTGTGCATGGGTATGAGAGAAGCTCAACCTGAGCCGGCAATGTGGTCTGTCAGCCCAGCGAGCCCCCGGCATCCCGGGCTGCATCCCCAGCAGCGTGGCCAGCAGGGCGAGGGGGGATTGTGCCCCTCTGCTGCGCTCTGCTCTGCTCTGGGGAGACCCCCCTGCAGTGCTGCCTCCAGCTCGGGGGCCTCAGCACAGGAGAGACATGGACCTGGTGGAGCGGGGCCAGAGGAGGCCCCGGAGATGCTGGGAGGGCTGGAGCCCCTCTGCTGGGAGGACAGGCTGGGAGAGTTGGGGGGGTTCAGCCTGGAGAAGAGAAGGCAGAAAAGGGGAGACCTCAGAGCCCCTTCCAGTGGCTGAAGGGGCTCCAGGAGAGCTGGGGAGGGACTCTGGATCAGGGAGGGGAGCCATAGGATGAGGGGGAATGGCTTCAAACTGGAAGAGGAGAGAATTAGGTTAGATACCAGGAAGAAATTCTTCCCTGTGAGGGAGGTGAGCCCCTGGCCCAGGTTGCCCAGAGAAGTTGTGGCTGCCCCATCCCTGGAGGTGTTCAAGGCCAGGTTGGACGGGGCTTGGAGCAACCTGGGCTGGTGGGAGGTGTCCCTGCCCATGGCAGGGGGGTTGGACTAGATGGTCTTTAACGTCCCATCCAACCCAAACCATTCTATGATTCTATCATTCTATGATATATAATTTAGTGTAAAGCTGCAGCTCATGATAGCTGTAGCTCATCTGTCTGTTTCCAGAGACCAGATTTCCCAGAGCCCAGCTGCTCTCTAGAAAAAACGGTCTCTCACCTGAGAGTGGGTAGCCATAATAGCTAGAAAAGGACCATTTGACGAAAGTAAACCTCAAATGTACCAGCTCTTCAGTTTCCATGAGAACAGCGGATGCAATTTGTGTCATGCATCTTCTAAGAAAAATGGAAGACATTTGTCAATGGCATAGAGGAAGTGCCTTGTGTGAAAAACACCTCCATTGTGGAGGCCTGGCAGGAGCTGGGAGGTGATGGTGCTGCCGACTCCAAGTCTCTGAGGACAATTGCATGGTGGTTTTTCTAGAATCATAGAATGGTTTAGATTGGAAAGGACCTTAAAGATCATCGAGTTCCAACCTCAAGTGCTCCTCTCGCCTTCTTGGTTGAGCGTTGGTTCATGGAAGAGCAGTTACGCTGGATCTGTTACAGTGGCTTCCAATGGCGGCTGTCATTTAATAGTGTTAAAACAGTCCAGGCTGTGACTGCTGTAAAGGACAAACGTGGTGTGGTCTGTCATGAATGGATGTGGCGTTAGAATATGTTGGATACATATTCATTATAGTGAACAGGTTGCTGGTTGTATTGGGTGTAAATGTGCAGGTTTTGGTAGCAGGAGGGTTTCAGGCACGGCCTCTGTGAGGAGAGGCCGGGGCTGCCCTGTGCCGGACACAACTGGTTCCAGATGGCGCCAACATCCCCACCACAGGACACAGCTGAGCCCCTCAGTAACGCTGGTGGTGCCTTGGGCGAAATATATATAAGAAAGGGCAAAACATGGCAGAGCAGCGAGGAGTGAGGAAAAAATCATTATAAGAGCCCTGTGAGTTTGAGGGTCGGGGTTGGGGATGGGGTGAAGCTGAGCCGGGGAAAAGGGGAGGTGGAAGGAAAGTTTTTTTAATTTGTCTGTCTTTCTCGCTGTCCAAACACATTTTAATTGGGAATAAATTAAATTAACTTTCCTCAAGTTGAGTCTGGATTGCTCATGATGGTAATTGGTAAGTGATCTCCCTGTATTTTACCTTGACCCGTGAGGGCAACAAAGCTGGTGAGGGGTCTGGAGCACACGTCTGATGAGGAGCAGCTGAGGGACCTGGGGGTGTTCACCCTGGAGAAGAGGAGGCTGAGGGGAGACCTTCTCGCTCTCTACAGCTCCCTGAAAGGAGGGTCTAGCGAGGGGGGGGGGTCTCTTGTTCCAAGGAACAGGCGATGGGACAAGAGGAAATGGCCTCAAGTTGCGCCAGGGGAGGTTTAGATTGGATATAAGGAAAAATTTCTTCACCGAAAGGGTTGCAAACATTAGAACAGGCTGCCCAGGGCAGTGGTGGAGTCACCGTCCCTGGAGGTATTTAAAAGATGCATAGACGTGGTGCTGAGGGACATGGTTTAGTGGTGGTTTTGGCAGTGCTCGGTTGACTCGATGGTCTTAAAGGTCTCTTCCAAAAAAACTGATTCCATGATTCTATTATTCTATGAGTTTTTCCATCTTGTTTTCCCCGCCTGTCCTGTTGACGAGGGGGAGTGAGAGAGCGGCTGGGTGGGCATCTGGCAGCCAGCCAAGGTCAATCCACCACATTGGTGCAGAAAATACACGCAGTTCCTGCTTGGTCCTATAAAAAAACTTGTGGTTGAGCACTAACGTATCCTAGCAGCAACAGAGAATAGTGATTTCCCAGCTTTTTATGCTTGCATGAGAACGTTGCTTTCAAGAGTACTCCACCTTTGACAGTGATTGACTATATATTGCTCTGTATGTGTGCGTCACGTTAGTATCAGCTGACTTGTCTGAAGCACTAAACCGAATTGCATCTCTAGTTTATATCCTGGGACTTGCAGATAGTATTTTTGAAAAATAGACTCAGAAAGTGTGAATTTCCAGATATTAGTGAATTGTACAGGTTGGCTTTCGTAAATCAAAGTCCAGCGTTCAATAAGAAAAAAACAGTTGTTTTTATGCAAAGCATATATTCTATTACATTTTGACTTTTTTCTCCCCTTCTAGATAAACATCATGTCAATGGAAACAGAATGGTAGAACCTTTCCCAGAGGGAACACAGATGGCTGTATTTGGTAAGACATCAGTTTTAAAATAAAAGCTCTAAGCTGTCTAGTGTTACTGCATGCCAAATTTCTTAATTTCAGCCTGAGTCCTTAGAGTTTTAGAATCTGGGCTGCTATTGCCATTTTTCTAACCACTACAGTCAGCTAAAGCCACTGATCATTTTGGGAGATGTCCATGCCCCCAAAGAAGCATATGAAAAGTATTTTTCTGAGTTATAAAACCAGCAAATGTAGACACTTAGTTTGTTCCATAAAAATTCCAAAATAGTGTTTTATGTATGATAATTCCTGTAAGATCATACATTAGTTTAAACAAAATTCTGAAGATGATCCATGATTCTCCAGACCTTAGGTCATGTAAGGAACTCAAACTGGTGGGATCTACTGCACTTGCAGAGTTGTTACCATTTACGTGCCCCAGACCAAACCTCCTGGTTTGTACTTTGTGAATGGTCCCGTAGGTTTCCTGTTGGCTGCCAACAGGGCTGCAAAGGTGGCCAGTGGTTAAAGAGAAGATGTTTGATTTCATTGTATCTGTTTTCTATGAAAATGTCATTCTTTGAGCTGTTTTGTAAAACTTGAAAAAAGCGTTCTGTGGAGAAATTAATGGCTTCTGGAAGAAAGAAACATCCTAAAATAGATTAGGGTCACCATTTTTTTTTACCAAGAGATGGACTTTACCCAAATCTGGGAATCGCCAGAGCTGTCATTTCAGAATGTGCTAATGTTAGTCCTTAAGGGCAAGCTTATGGAATTTCCTAGGGAAGAAAAAAGTGAATTTCCATGACAATTATTCTTAAAACTTACTGTTACAGACAATGAAAATTTTCCTAACCCTGTTTTGAACCATAAGATTGGATTGTTTAGAAAGGATATAATTCTCTATTAACTTCTACAGGATTGTACGAAAGTGCCTTAGGAAATTCATTATATCCTATTAAATGTTTATCTGTCTGGGATGTTGAAGTAAATATTAAATTACTACTTGATACACCTGCTATATCATCTAGCCTGATGAAGTTCTAAATCAGAATAAGTGCAGGTCAGGTATATGAAGCAGTCATCACTATTTTTGACCTGGGTATATATATCACACATATGGACTTAGGCAATCACAAGGCAATGTGTGTATCAACAAATATGTAAAAATGGAGGTTGTACCCTGGAAAGCAGTGATTCTGAGAAGCGGTGCTGTATAAATGCCCAGTATGATGTAACAAAATGAATAAATGGAGCCTTCCGATGTGAAATTAGGGGTATAGTGAGTAGGTATTAGCAGGCAATTTTACACCTGCACGCAGTGTTTCCGAGACCGGTACTTAAATACATTTCACATGCTATTGAGCAATTAGACAGAATTTATTAACAACAGCAACAAAAAGCTGAAACACTGAAAGAAACCATCAAAGCAACCAGGAGAATCTGACTATCATTGTGTCTTCAGATACAGACTGGGGCAGTTAGTGGCATGCCTAGCCAGAGGTTTCGGAGGTCTTGGGCTCACCAGGCTGCCAGTTGCCAAACCAGAGGGGTGGAGGTCTCCTGCAGTCCTGCGGTGTGGACATCTCAGTTGTCCTACGGCACCCAGAATGAACCTAAACACTCGTGTTGGGCACCCATTCACCCCAGGTGCTTCCTGAGGTTGTGCGTCAATAGAAAACACATTATCGATCTCCATAAAGGCAAAAGTAGTAGAAATTATCCTCCCTACATGATACAGTAGATCACATTAGATAATCCAATCATCCCTACTGATGTTAAATATGAATCTGTATTTTACAGGAGAAAGTAGCTTGTGTCAGTATGGCATTTTCTCAGTCATTGAGCTTAGCGATGGTAATCTGATCTAATTTATAAAAAGAAAAAACATAGCATAAACTTTTCAGAAACCTGAGCAGTGTCTGAAAGTTCTTATGTAGTAACAGTTTATGTACGCTTGGAATGAATTGTTGACATTAATCTATTTTCAAAGAGAGCTGTATTCACATCTGAAATATTTAGCAATCCTATGTGGAATGCAAAGGGCTAAGTTATCCGTGGGCACTAATTTGTTACTCCAAAAATTATCTTTTCAACTGATTATTGCAAAAAATCCCAGTAAGCATTGACTTTCCTATGGGGCTCATGTTTCTGTGGTTGCCATGGCTGAAGAGGAGAAATGGTTTATGGGTGTCCCCCTTCAGTTATGGTCATGATTTCTTCAAATTCTCTTTAGAGTTCCTCTAATCCAGTATTGTCTTTCTGCCAGTATTCCCTTGTCTGTGGATTATGGGAACATAAAAAAAATTCTTGGAGTGGTGGAAAGAGAGATTGTTTGATAACTTTTTTTGAGCTAATGGAAAAGGATTGTGTGTTACCTTTTGAGTTTTACGATTAAGATGGATGTAGAGATTCTTCTTTGAATTTCTTAACAGCAGGCAGGGTCAGAGAGTTCTGGTACAATCCAATATTGATGCAGTCTTCACTGTTTAAATTTTTTAAATCTTCTCTTTTGTTTCCTGTGTGATGGTTAAATCAGCTTTCCAGTGGTTGTGATGGGTGTTGGTGTGATATATTGGTTATATCACTGTTGATTGTACACGATATGCAAAATTTCATAGAAAGTAATATCCTACCTACAGAATTTCATTGGAAGAGCGCAAAATCTTATTAAACATCCTGCTTTGAATCATTCCTGATCAATTCCATTATATTCCTATCAAGCCTGGTAACTTTCATAATTTTTAAATTGCCCTAGATTTTCCGCAAGATTGTGATTGCAAATGTTGGGCTAGGTGGTGAAAACTCATGCTGCTGCCATCTGTGCTGTGAATAAATGGAAAACCTACATGTTCTTAGGTTTACTATTAGACCTGAAATATAGTAGTATACAAACATGACTCTGATGATAATTGTTGTCATTTGTTGTCATTGGCATCCCATTCTGATACGTGGTATAGAAAAATGGAGCTACGGTTCAATTTTGCTGCCTCCAAGGGGGCGGCGGTTGCTGGCCCCATGTGAATGAGAATAAAAGGAAGCGCTCAAAGAAGAAAACAATTATCTATTAGTAATTCTTCTCCTCAAATTATTACTCATCGTATCCGTGTGTGCTCCTGTTAGTGGCAAGTTCTTTGTATTTTAGGTCTCTCTAAGCTAGAAGAAACTGAGCTAGTCTGAGCTAGTAGACTTTCTGCCTCCACCTTAGTGAGAGAGAGCTTCTCACCCCACTTCTCGGGAAACATCCGTGAATCCTTTAATTGGGATTGCACAGGGACAGGTCTCAAAGAGCAGTAGTTAATAAGACATAATCTCTCTTCCTTAAAAAGATCTGCGAAAGCTAAAAGATGCTAAATAACCCTATGATTTTGTAGATACAGCCTACTTGCAGTGAATTTTCCTGCTGCTTGGATAGTTTAGATTCACCAGTAAAAATAACAGTATAAAACATAATGCCGGATTGTAAACACTAATCCTTTTACCTGCTTGCAAAATGCAGTTAGATTGCATTACATAGCTCCATCTTCTGCAGAACCTCCTTCAAGATGCTCTTACTAGTGCTGCGTTATTTACTTTATGGTAGGACTTCTTGTTTTGATCAAGGTAAGGGTGAAAGTACATGGGTCATTGTTCCTGCAGCTTTCCCATTTATAACAGAACCTCACAGTTTTCAAAAGACTATTTAAATGATCTTGAGACTCTCCCGTCGTCTCTTTAGCATCATTTGGCTGCCTAGCTGTATCCTGGGCTGCATCAGAAGTGTGGCCAGCAGGTCAAAGGAGGGGATTCTACCCCTCTACTCCACTCTGGTGAGACCCCACCTGGAGTAATGCATCCAGCTCTGGAGTCCCCAACATAAGAAGGACATGGACCTGCTGGAGCGTGTCCAGAGGAGAGCCAGGAGGATGGATGGAGGGCTGGAGCACCTCTGCTATGAGGAGAGGCTGAGAGAGTTGGGGCTGTTCAGCCTGGAGAAGAGAAGGCTCCGGGGAGATCTTATTGCCGCCTTCCAGTGCCTAAAGGGGTTCCAGGAGAGCTGGGGAGGGACTTTTTACTGGGGCATGGAGTGACAGGATGAGGGGGAATGGCTCTAAACTGGAAGAGGGCAGGTTTAGATTAAACATGAGGAAGAAGTTTTTCCCTGTGAGGGTGGTGAGGCACTGGAACAGGTTGCCCAGAGAGGTTGTTGAGGCCCCATCCCTGGAGGTGTTCAAGGCCAGGCTGGAGGTGGCCTTGGGCAACCTGGGCTGGTGGGAGGTGTCCCCGCCCATGGCAGGGGGGGTGGAACTCGATGATCTTCAAGGTCCTTTCCAACCTAAACCATTCTATGATTCTGTGATTCTAAGGTACTCCTATTGTTTATTAGAATAAAGAAATGCATCCTTGTTTCTATGATGGTAAAAAAGCTAGATTTCAAGGGTAAGGGTGACTCTTTAATGGAAATATTTTAATGTTAACCATCCAGTGACCTCTTAATCCAGCTTCCAGCTAATATTGTAGCAGTAAGAGTGCAGGAGGTGCACAGGCACTGCTCACAGCCTCACTGGAGACACTGGAGAATGCTATATCAAAAATCATTGTGCCCCTTGAAGTAAAGAAGGGAGTGTATTCCCAAGTTCCGCGACTGAACCAGATGAAACTCTAGATGTTATGTGTTTGTGTTACGGATGGTAAAGTAGAAGTTGTTCAATAAATGCCTTCCAGAAAGTTTTCTTGTAGTTTTTATGGCCGCAGATATTTTCAATTAAAAGTATTTTGCCTGTAGCAACTGATTTTGACCAAAAACCTAACCAAAAGTCAAAATCTGAACATATATTAAGGGGTTTGATAATGTTTTGAAAAGAAGCAATTTGGGGTCTAAAATCAAACTTTTGGATAGAGGTGTCCAAAATGAAAAGAAATGCTTCAAAGCTGCAGAACGTATGCAAATATAAATTAATATTTCCATCAGTACCATTGGAATCGTTTGCATATTTTAAACAAATTTAAATGCACTGCTGTATTATGCTCAGAAATATTTCTGGTCAGCG